CAGCTGGTTATGTTGCCACTCGTCTTTGGAGGACTATGTTATGTGGAGATCACAAGGGATGGGTCTCTGTTTCATGGAGAGTTGCTTGTTTCTTCCCTGGTATCGCCTTCCTTATTCTAACCACTTTGAATTTCTTGCTATGGGGTAGTCATAGTACTGGAGCTATTCCCTTTTCTTTGTTTGTCGTACTCATTTTGCTATGGTTTTGTATCTCGGTTCCCCTTACCCTTGTTGGTGGTTACTTTGGAGCAAAGGCGCCTCATATTGAGTACCCAGTTCGAACAAATCAAATTCCCCGTGAAATTCCGCCTCAGAAGTACCCGTCTTGGCTTTTGGTCCTTGGGGCTGGTACCCTTCCATTTGGCACACTTTTCATTGAGCTCTTCTTCATCATGTCCAGTATCTGGATGGGTGGTGTATACTATGTGTTTGGGTTCCTTTTCATTGTTATGATCCTTTTGGTTGTGGTTTGTGCTGAGGTATCACTTGTTCTTACCTACATGCACCTTTGTGTTGAGGACTGGAAATGGTGGTGGAAATCTTTCTTTGCTTCTGGTTCTGTTGCCATTTACATCTTTCTTTACTCCATCAACTATCTAATATTTGACCTTAAGAGTTTGAGTGGGCCCGTCTCTGCTACCCTTTACCTCGGTTATTCACTCTTCATGGTTCTAGCAATTATGCTTGCAACGGGTGCAGTTGGGTTCCTCTCTTCATTCTGGTTTGTGCACTACCTGTTTTCTTCAGTGAAGCTCGATTGATGGGCCTCCTTGAATTTGAAGTTCAATGGTGACAAAGCAACAGCGAACAAAGATCAAAGGTTGGACGCGACACATGTAGCTTATAATTGTTTAGCTTATTTTATTGTCTCTCTATTTCTAGGGAATTCCGAAGATACCTACAATAATCTGCTGAAGTTTTGTTCAAGTGTTTATCCAGATAGAAACTATTGCAGACTAGCCATCTAGAATATGCAATGGTGATGGAATGAATATTTTCATACGAGCTTGTGCACTATTTGTCATCTAGATATGTATTAAGTAATGATGGTTATTGCAATCTATTGTTCTTCGTTTTGCTGTTTATCAGGTTTTTACTATATGCGTGGGTTGATATTCTTGTGGCTTTATAAGTACAACTAATCAATTTTTACCTATTGAACAAGCGATCTTGATTTATGATGCTATCACTTAAAAAGTTCGTGATGATGGATTAGATCTCTTTTTAGATCTGCATTGGCATGAATCTTTATTCTTTCGGTGTAGGAATCACCACACTTCTCTTGGAATTTCATTCTTGCTTTTCATTTCAGTACTTTGTGTATGCTTGCTATGTGGCATTGTTAACCATTCAATAAGCTCCTGTTTGGCTTCCATTTCTTAAAACTCATTTTTCTTCGAACTTATGTTCAAATCCCACGTTTCGTGGGCTTCACAACTTTTTTTCAATTTTTTAACAACCCATACACAAGTATGCTTGTTGTGCGGCATTTCTAAGTTCTAACCATTCATTAAACCTTTGTTTGGTTCATATTTTTTACAACTCGTTTTTCTACAAACTCAATTTTAACTCCATATTTCATGGGATTCACAACTTTTCAATATTTCAATCACATTTCATCAACTTTTATCAAAATTTACTAAAAATTGATTTTAATCCAAATCAGATAGGGGCTAAATGTGTGCATTGATCAGGAAGGGTTGGTTATACACTAAACACTGTACCTGACTCTTGTCTCATACTGGACCCTTTTTTTCCTCAAGCATCAGGTCGAATTTGTATGGACATAAATGGTCGAATCTGTACGGACATCGTCTCCTGGACATTGTCTCCTGTGAATGTTGGCAGGAAAAATCTTATATGCACCGAAATTCATAGAAATGTCACTTTTTGTGTCCAATGTTCTCCTAGAACCTGCCTTTTACTGGGTAGAGCAAAGAAACCTGTGAATTCATCTTTACTGATTTTAAGGTCAGAACTCTATATATTAGCTTCAGTAAAACCTCGAAGAAAGTATTTAAAAACAACTCAAGTTAATCTAGTTTGGAGTTTTTGTAAAGCAACTTATAATTTATCATAAATGTCATAATCAAATAACGAAACATAATATTTAGAAAATGTAATAACAAACTATATTATGAATTATTAGTACTTTTTAACTTCTTAATTCCAATGCATGATTTCTCTTTGTACTGTGCTGCAATTGATTTCTTGGCACTGTAATGGTCAGTGGTCACCTGAAATCAAAAGCTTAGAGAACATATAATCAACTTAAAAGGCACTTTAATAAATTCAAATTGCGAGTGTAGGGATAACTATGTTAGTTCTCATAGTAGAGACAAGCGAAATGGAGCAACTTAACTATTGAAAATGGAATCGTGGGAGTGTAATATAAGTGTCGTGCTGTTGTTAAACCATCCATTAAACACTTTATCAAGCTCAAAAATAGGATGTAGAGGGTGTTTGGTAGGAATTTTTATGTGAAAATGTATTTTTGAATAGTAAATTGATGGGAAATGTGTGGTTGAAAAATGAGAAATTTTTTTTGATTTACGTGTAATATTATTTTAATAAAGAATGTGTGGTTGAAAAGAAGAGAGAGAAAAATGCATTTTGATAAAAATGGGTGCCAAACAGGGCCGTAATTAGATTTCGTCATTAAGATTCATCATCTCTCTAAAGAAATCCTCTTCCCAGGAACAAGCAATTCTACTTCTTAATGCTATGGAGATGAACAAAAAATCAATTGATTTTATGATAATCAAAGAAATCAACAGTCCATTTTCTATTCAAATTTTTTGTAATCAATTCTTTTATGCTGTTTTGGACGTGGAAAATATTTTATCTACATATGGTGATCGTGGAAATACATTCTATGCATTTAGTAATTCAAGTTAATTAAGAAGTCTATTCAATGTTGAATCAAAACAAAATACTTTTTTCTTATTATACGTGATTTGTTGAACGTAGATCCAATTTTTATCCCTTTTTTTGATTTCTTGGAATGATGACTTCACCATGTCATGCTCTCGTTGAAAAATGCAATTAACTAATCATAATTCAAAAGGTCGAGAACTCAACATCACCAATTTCTAACAATTTAAAGTAAGCCTTCCTTTTTACTACTATGAGAATGAAAATAATGACATCGAATTCAAGTGACTATTAAGATATATTTGTTTTTAATTAAAGCAAAAAAATTTGCTAACTATAAGACGTTAAAATCTTGACAAGTGACATGAACGACACTCCGTATCTAACTTGTAAGAATGAAAACATTGATCTTGCACTAAATTAAATATTAAAATCTAATTGTAGTAAAAATTTTGCAAATTGGAAGATGAGAAAATCTTGACAAGTATCATGAATGACACACCGTAACTAAATTATAAGAATGAAAATAATTATTTCGCACTAAATTGAATATTAAAATCTACTAGTTTCTAATTGTAGTGAAAATTTTGGCAATTAGAAGAAGCTAAAATCTTGACAAGTGACATGAATGAATGACACTTCGTAACTAAATTTGATTACCTAAGCTCGTCTAGTTTTCTTGTATTAATCATAAAAACAATCAAAACAGGTGTATCAGGTATGAAAATATTACTAATTTTAGCAAACATTTCAATTGTCTACGAAAAGCAAGAATTATTTTTTACAAGTAATTGAGAAGGCCTATAAACAATGGTTTTATTTATTTATTTATTACAAATTTCCCACTCTTTCCCCAAATTAATTTCATAGTCATAGCCCCTGTTTGGACTGTATTTTCTCAAAAACTCATTTTCCAAAACTCATTTTTAACAACACATTCTCTCATAAAATATATTCACATGAATTCCAAAATTTTCTTTATTTTTTAATCACTCCAAAAAATTGTTATTCCGAAACATAT